TGGATCTCTGTGAGTTCGAGGCCAGCCTGGGCTACCAAGTGAGTTCCAGGAAAGGCGCAAAGCTACACAGAGAAACCCTGTCTCAAAAAACCGAAAAAAAAAAAAAAAAAAAAGAGGCTGGATGTCTCAGATGGTCTTCAGTATGCACCAGAATCTTGAAGAAGTAGGCTCTAATGCCAATGAAGGAATGATGAGGGCGAGAGCAAGCAGGCAGAGAGCAAGCTTCTTTCTCCCATGTCCTTTATAATAGGCTGCCACCAGAAGATGTAGCCCAGATTTAAGATATGTCTTCCCACCTCAAAAGATCATGATTAAAGGTGTATTTTTCCACCCCAAAAGATCCATCTTAAAAGTGGCTCTTCCCTCTTCAAAGGATTAATGAAGTAACACACACACACCCCATACTGGTATGCTCAGCTGCTTGGGTTTTAGCTAGTTTCAGTTGAAGTTAACAACCAAGAACAGCCATCACGGTGACACAGATTATGTGCCACATTAGCCTGAACTTAAAAACCGGCCAGTTTTTCAGAACACAGGACATGCACAGTGCCAAGTCCACATAGGCACCATTTATGTGAGCTACAAGAACAAGTGAGTTCTGTTTTAGCTCCATATGAACTAGCTTTGAGATGTCCAGTCCAGTTTTCACTCATTTCTGCTTTCATTGGCCCTCTGATGAAAAGCTCTGCTTTCATCCCCTCTGCCCATCTTAAAACTAGATTTGCTATGATTTTGTTTTGTAACTGGAGATCATTGCTCAGGATACTTAAGAGGTTCCAGCCGTTCTGTTATCACTCACTCTAGAGACAAGTCACAGTTACTGTCCTTGTCAACAAAAGAATAAAGCCTGGCCAGGCATTATGGTATAGGTCTGAAATCCCAGCATTCAGGAAGCAGCAGAGGCAAGAGGATCAGAAAGTTCAAGGCCAGCCTTTGCTACATAAAACAGTATATAATCTAAACCCTCACAGAACAACTTCCATGTCAGTAGTGCCGGTGCTGGAGACAATTCTGGCATCTGCAGCTTGAGAAGGAGTAACCCCCTCACCCCACCTCCCACTTAGGGACGTCCACTCAGAGAAAGCCAAATCTTTGGTATGGTGCAGCAAAGAATTTCAGGACAAGCTGGTAAGCATAGTTGTGGTTTATTAAAAAAGTTTAAGAACAGAGGTTAATAGAGAAGTGCTCAGGGAAAAGTAAATCACATCCAAAAATGTGGGTGTGGGATTAAGGGAGAAGCATCCTTCATTTCTTTATAATAGTCATAGATTAAGGTTTTGTTGATTTCCAAAGTTATATCTTGAAAGGGTTGTTAAATGTAAATGCAGTCACAGGAAGACTCCTGAGGTATGCTGGACAAAACTACAACTGTAACACATCAGACCACCGGGGTGCATGAATTTGGGGTATCTTCACTGTGAACAACAGTTAACTGTTTTGTTAGTGGGGGTTCCCAGAAAATACTCAGGAGAACATTAAGGACATACATATTCAAGGCCATGTACACTCAGGCCTTAAACCTGGTTACTACTGCCTTAACATTCTTTTGGTTTTTGTTTGTTTGTTTGTTTTTTGTTGTTGTTTTTATAAAAGGTCTCACTTTGTAGGTAGGTTTGGCTAGCCTAGAACTTGCTATGTAGACCAGGCTGGCCTCCAACTCAGAGATCAGCCTCTGAATGCTGGGATTAAAGGTGTGCACCATCATGCCCAGCTTTTTAACTTTCATTTTTTTTGGAAATATTTCTATATCAAAGAAATATTGCCTGTATGTAGGCAACCTTTAGAGCAAATATTAGTAGTAACTGTCCTGGGATTCTTTATTTTCAGGTAGTAAGGAGGCTAGAACCACACTTTAGAGTGAAGGCTCCCTTTTCTCTGCATAATCTTCTCTGTGTAGCCTATCTCATCCCCAATCATACAGAGCAGTGAGGTAGCTCCAGACATGGTGGGACCAGGAGGTGAGTTCTGCATCTTAGGCCTAGTCTAGCAGGGACAAGATCTGAGAAACACCCATAAACTCAGACCTCCACGTGCACATCTGCACACACCCAAAGACAGACAGACAGACAGACACACACACACACAGTGCAATGTAGAAACTCTAGTTCATCTCACAGAGAATTTCCTTGAGCACCTCCTGTTCTACAATACTGGCCTCTGCAAGAGAAGATTTGGGTGCACAGGCTGGAGAATCAGTTCAGGAGGGAAAGTCATGGCCGGTAAACACCACACTAAATGAGATTCAGGCTTCAAAGAGACGCAAGCAAGACACAGAGATGAGCAAGGGTCCTTAATATGAGCAGAGGGCAGCCGGGACAAGGGACGCATCCTTGGTGTGAAGACCTTTAAATGTCTCCCAAGGTCATCAGAGGTAGACGGGGAGACCATGGGCAGTTAAGAGCTGCTGGGGGCCAAGTCCAGGAAGGTCTCAGAGAAGGCCTGCTAGTTCTACTAGGTGTTAGCAGTTTCTTATCACCGCCAGATAAAGAAGTCAGAGATGAGAAGAGGAAAGAGAGGACAGTTTTATTACAGAGCAAAAGTACACACAGCAGGGAGGGAGGCCTTCCCGAGCCCTGGCGCACAGGCTCTTCTTGGTGGTCATATTTTAAACTATTTTGACTAGGAATATTTTCTTTGTCACATCAGGGTGCACAGCACAAGACCAAGCATGATGTCCACAATTAAAGGGTTTGTTTGTTTGTTTTTTTCCCAACCCAAAGCCCAATTTGATGTTTATGGATCCCATATCAAGCTGTTATCTGCATCTGGAGGTTCTGCTACCAGCCACTAAAAAAGTCAAGAGACAGAAAAGGGAAATGGTTTTGTTTACACTTTTCACCAGAACCGGGGGAGCGTGGGGACGGGGAGATGTTCCTTTCTCACTACCTTTCCTATAGCAGTGTTACAATCTACAGAGAAGAAGAAACAAAGGCCAGGAAACAAGTATACACAGGCATGTGTAGACCCAGCTGTGAAATAACTCATCGGAACTGTGAGCCATCTTTTCTGACAGGTTCTGTTCTAGTGGCCTTAGGCCCTTCTCATCCCCAGCACAGGATTTCCTGGAGACGCTGTAATTCTTCAGGGTCCGTGTTACGCTGCTATGACAGACATCGCATGGTTTATGAGATGTGTTTCCATCTTTCACACTTCCTGCTTTTCTGTAACTGCTTCCCATGGCCCCTTCCCGCTCCCTGATTAGTGCCTCTGTCACAAGGACCAGAGGTGAAAATGCAGGGTTTGGCAGTGGAGAGGAGGCTGGAAAGGTGTGTCAGACTGAGATGGAGAAGGTTTCAAAGCCCTCAGTTAGGGGTCTCATCCCCTCTTGCTGACCTGGACAGCCCCAGCTAATGATTTATGGGCTGAGGGCACTACTAAGTCATGGATGGTATTCTGTAAGAACCATAACTACCGAAAGCTGCAAAACCAAGGACTGGAGCCGTAAGCGAGTGGATTGCTCCTCACGGATCAGGAAGTGCATCTTACATCTGCACATGGTATGACTATCCCGCCAACGATAGCCCAAAGACCAGCAAAAGTGTGGTGTGACCTACGTGCTATGTCACCTCTGCCGTGATCAAAACCAACAGGCATTTTAAAGAACAGTTTGCCAAAATGATGGATTAGTACGAAATATCCCTGTTCTTACAAAAAAAAAAGGAGAGAAAAGAAAGAAGGAAAGAAAGGAAGAAAGGAAAGAAAGAGAAAGAAAGAAAGAAGGAAAGAAAGGAAGAAAGAAAAGAAAAAGAAGGAAGGAAGGAAGAGAGAAAGAAACAATATAAGCAAATTAGCTAAAAAGAGTTCTATTCACTTCCAGGTGATCTTAAGAGCAGATGCATTTAGGTACAGCCGTATTACCGAAAAGGATGTAAGTTAGTTCTGAAAATTCAGTCTGCTGAAGATTACAAACCCCTAGATTCATCTATCTTAATCCTCGTTTTAGAGTCTCAGAATGTCACACATCATACATGCTAGAAAAGGCCTCTGGGAGAAGAAACTGTCAGTTCCAGAAAAGAATTTCCTTCCATTTTCCCTGCAGCACCACCCCTGAAATAGTGGGATTGAAAATGAGCGATCTACAGCGGCGCTGTAACGAACAACAGCGCTACCCCCCCGCTCTGTAAACTATCCCAGACAGCCCGAGCTCTGCACATATCCATCTCTGAGACACAACAGGAAGTGTAAACTGGGAATCTGAATGAAAGAGTTCAGGTACCCAACTTTCCAAAAATAATTAGAAAAAAATCATAGCATTACTTTTCATACTCCTGAGACTATATTTTATAGGTAGGTATCCGTATAAATAAAAAATTCACTTCAAACATATGTAATATACAATACAGACTAATGAACTGCATTAGAAGTTCTTACACATCCCAAACACTTGAGCAATACACGTACACATTTCTGTAAGAATGAACTATGGCAAGCAAAATAACTTAGGACTGCATCAGGGCAGCTGTTGTGCACAGACCTGGATACACAGTAGCAAATGCCATGAAAATGAGCACTGAGGTCACCATGTAAGACAACGATCCTTCAAAGGACATTCAAGACTTGATTTCCATAACCTTTTTGGATTTGGGCTTTGTAATAAATATGTAATAAATATCTGCAATAATTGTACATGTCGATAGCTTATCTCTCTCCATTGGAAAGTCTTTCCCTGGAGTCATAGTGTCTTAGAGGCATCCCTGGGGGTGGGGAGTTGGGATTTCGCAGCAAGTCCACTAACAAAGCCATTTTAGCATCTATGTGCTCCTGGAGCTGGTAGATCCTCTCATCAATGTGGTCCATAAGCTTCTTTTCCATCAGTTCCATGTTTTTAGAAAGAATCTTTTCCAAGTAGGAGCAAATAGGCTGTTCTTCCATCCTAAAAATAAAAATTTTAAGCATATCAATTTTCTCTTTTATGACGACAAAAACAAGAAAGTGAGCCAGCCAAAGAGCAGACAAGATGCACCACTTGCACTGGTCTCTCCAACCGCTCTCCCCATGGCACACTGTCAGCTCTAAACCTACAACAGTGGCCACAGTCCTGAATGCACAACACTCTCCTATTAACTGCTCTGCCTAGTCAGACGACCGAGAACAGAGAGCAAAGGCAATCAAAGGATAAGCTGAGGCTGGGCTCTGTTGCTTGAGTGTTTTTCCAGCATGCAAGAAGCCTTGGGTTTAATCCCTAGTGCTGCAGATGACCAGGTGCAGTGGTAAGGGAGACAGCCCAGTCACTAAAAGAACTGCCTTGTAAGCATGAAGACCCAAGCTAGATTCTCAGAATACTAATTAAAAAGTAAAATTACAATACTGAATGCTGGGACTGCAGAGATGGCTTAGTTTGGAAAGAAATTGCCATTCAAGTATGAAGACCTGAGTTCCCATCCCCAGCATACTCCCTAAGAAACCTGCTGCTGTGGCCTGCTGAGGAGGCAGGGAGATGATGTCCAACTGGCCAGCTAACCTTGCCAAATCAGGGAGCTCTGGACACAGCAAGAAACCCTGTCTCAAAAACCAAGATAGGGCATGACTGAGGAAGACACCCCATACTGACCTCTCCCCTCCACCCATATTTGCACACACTTGCATGTACACCCTCATACATGAACACATACTACATAAATTCACATACACATGGCAAGCATGGTGTATGAACTTAAAATCCCAGCATTGGGTATATAAACACAAAAGACAAAAGGATCTCAGCGGCTCACTAGCCAGCCAGCCTAGTTTGCAGAAAGAGACCCTATCTCAAAAGACAATGTGGATGGCTTCTGAGAACACCACCTGAGGTTGTCCTCAGGCTTCCACATGCTGAACATGCTTCATGTGCAAGCACACACAAACACAAGGTGTGACACACAGCTGTAATTTCAGCACTTGGGAAATGGAGCTAAGAGGATCAAAAGTTCATGGTCAACTGCAGTCAATTGGAGGCTTGCCTGGGTGTGGTGGTTTGAATGAGAAAGACTCCCACAGCCCCATATATTTGAAATGTTTGGTCCCCAGTTGGTGGAACTGTTTGGGAAGGATTGGAAGGTGTGGTCTTCTTGGAGGAGGTGTGTCCCTGGGGATGTGGGCTTTGAGGTATGAAAAGTCCACACCATTCCCAGTTAGCTTGCCCTCTGCCTAGTGCTTGGATCAGATGTAGGCGCTCAGCTACTGCTTCACTGATATAACCACTTGCCTGCTACCATGCTCCCCACCGTGATGGTCATGGCCTCTAACTCCTGTAACCATGAGCTCCAAATCAAACGTTTTCTTTTATAAGTTGACTTGGTCATGGTGTTTTATCATGGCAACAAAAGTGACTAAGATACTGGGCTACATAAGAATCTGTCTCAAAAAACTAAGGAGCCTTCAGGAAAAGGTTGTTTGGATTCAGTGAACACCAGAACAAGGAACCTTACAGTGGGGCCTACAAACCTTGTGTTCTCTCCTCCAGGGACTCAATGAGGTCCAAATTATTTTTGTACTTACAGAATGATGGTATCCGACTCTTTCATCCTCATGCTCATGTGAACACACAGTGGCATTTTCCAAATGTACATAAGGTGTTATGTCCCTGCTCTAATAACTCACAGAATTGGTAGCAGTGAGTTCTTCTTTCCCTAGAATGTCCTAAGGAATGTATTTACTGTATAAATATGTGTATTTCAGACACTGACTCACTTTGCTTTCAGTGTTCTTACTAGTTACATGTTATAAGGCAACACATAGAAGATTGCAGCCAAAAGCCAATACAGATTTTCACACATTAAAACATCATTTTCACTGAAGTTTTAAAAGAACTTATTTTTCATACTTATGTTAATATATGGCAGTTTGATTACTTCCTAACTGTGAAATAACATCAAAACCACCATACTAATATTTATACAACATGTACATAGAGCTCTGTGCAATTTTATCATGTCATGATATTCGTCCCAACACCACCAGTCAAGATGCGGAACTTTTAACTACAGAGATACCCATCCTGTCATCTCCCTTTGTCACACTCCCTTTCCTAACTCCAAGGATGTCTGCTATGTGCCTGCCTGAGTCTCTGCTGTTTCTCTCCATAACTCACCTGAAAGCCATTCAGGTTGTTGTTTTTATAACTGCTGATTACCACTCCACAGTGTGGATACACCAGTTCTTAAATTGTCTTAATTGTCTATTACAAAATATTTTGGTGTTTCCATTTTACAATTACTACAAATAAAGCTTCACTTGTGCAGCAGTGGTGCACACCTTTAATCCCAGCACTCAGGAGGCAGAGGAAAGCTGATCTCTGTGAGTTCAAGGCCAGCTTGGTCTACAGAGCAAGTTCCAGGATGACAGCAAAACAAAACAAAACAAAGCAAATAAAGCATCTGTGAACAATTGTGTACTGATTTATATATGGCCATAAAATTTCATTTCTCTAGGATAAAAGCCTAGGAATATGTCTGCCAGGTTATATGATAATGTGCATCTAGTAGTTAAATTGTCAAAATATTTTTGGGTGACTATATCATTTTATGAACCCAGCAGTAAGGTGTAAGAGATTTAGTTCTCTAAGTGCTTGTGAGCATTTTTAAGTTTTAGTCATTCCAAGAAACACACAGTTATCTTGTGGCTTTTTATTTATTTTTATTTTAGTTTAGTTTAGTTTGGTTTTTTGAGACAGGGTTTCTCTGTGTAGTTTTGGTGCCTGTCCTGGAACTTGCTCTGTAGACCAGGCTGGCCTCAAACTCACAGAGATCCGCCTGGCTCTGCCCGCCAAGTGCTGGGATTAAAGGCATAAGTCACCACTGCCCAGCTTTATCTTGTGGCTTTAATATGCACTCCCCTGGTGACAATGAGGCCATGCTGGCCACCCTTGTCTGTTTCCTGTGTAGTCTCCTTAGCGCAAGATTCCTTGTCTTTCATCTGTTTTACTCAGTATTGTTTTAAATGCTGAATTGTGTGGTTTCTTTGCATGTTAGGAACAAGTCATTTCTTGAATTTGTGACTTATAAATATCTTCTTCCAGTTTATATTTAAATCATCTTAAGAGGGTTTCCACGGGCATAAGTTTGACATTTTGCTGGGGTCGACACATCATTTGTTTGTTGATCATGCTTTTGACGGTGTATCTTAGCACTTTTTTCCTAAGTTCCCAGCAGTTTCTTCCATATTGCTTTTTGCTGTATGACCCGTTTGTGTTCATTTTCAGAGAAGGTGTGAGATTCAGGTCTTGGTTTATTTCTGCCTGTGGATCTCACATTGGCTTAGCAGCCCCTTTAAGACTGCTCTTCAGCTGAACTGCAATGCTGGCAGGCCACCTCTGTGCTCTGTCCCGTCCACCGGCATGTCCCCTTCCCTGCTAATGCCAGGCCTGACGCTACGGCTCTCCCATGTCCTGATATATGAAAGAATCATCTTTTTTTTTTTTTTTTCATTATTTTCTTGTTTTTATAAACCTCCTTTGGCTTTCTGAATGCCAGTGTTGTAGGTTCATGTTACCACTGGACTTTGAATTCAGTCTTTAATGGCTTAGAACTACTCAGAGCATCTATTTTATTGCTTAAATTTCTAAAATTTTTATTATTTTATGTATATTTTGCTTGTATGTACACATATGTGCCATGTGCGTGCCTAGTGCCCACAGAGGTCAGGAGAGGGCATTGGAGCTCTTGGGGCTAGAGTTATAGGTGGTTGTAAGCCATGTGGATTCTGGGAATTAAACCAACAAATGTTCTTAACTGCTGAGCCATCTCCCCAGCCCTTATTTCATTTCTTGGGTGGTAGTTTTGTGCCACCGTCCTCACAGCCATCTTCACGAGGGCAGCACGTGATGCTACAGACCCGTCATCACTGCTTCAGCTACGGCCCACACACTTTCACCTCTGCATGTTCACTCAGCTTTATGTACTTTTAAATATATTTCTGTTGAGACTTCTTTGGTGTGTGACATGTATGTTGTATGCATGTGTACATGTTCATGTGGCTGCCTACGTGTATGTATACACGAGCTTACAGAGCAGGAGGCTGATAGCTGGTGTTTACCTCTGTCACTATTTGTTGAGACAGAGTCTCTCACAGGACCTAGAGCTCAGTGATTTAGTAAGACTAGCTGGCCAGCAATTCCCAGGGGTCCTCCTGTCTGTGTCTCCCCAGCACCAGGATTACAGGATTACAGGTGTACACCACTAGGTTGTTGTTTTTTTTTAAACTAGGTCCTAAGGTTTAAAAACCAGGTCCTCGGCTTGCAGAGCAAGCACTTTACCAACGGAGCCGTTTCTCCAACCCTAGACTTCTTCAGTCAGATAAACTGTGTTGTTTAATCATCAAGTGTTTGGATATGATCCTATTGTCTTTCTATTACTGTCAAATGATTTCTTACCTTTCTTTACGGTCAGAGAATATCTCTATGATTTCAGTGCTTTTAAGTTTGGTGAGGCTTCTTTGACTTGAAATACAATCTCTTTCCTTCTTTATGACTTGAAATGCAATCTGATGGGAATGTCACTCTATATGCTGTGAATGTATGCTGCTCTGATTGATTGATAAATAAAACGTTGATTGGCCAGTAGCCAGGCAGGAAGTATAGCATAGGTGGGATAAGAGAGAGGGGAACTCTGGGAACAGGAAGGCTGAGTCAGGAGTCGCCAGCCAGACACAGAGGAAGCAAGATGTGAAGGCAGAACTGAGAAAAGGTACCAAGCCATGTGGCTAAACATAAATAAGAATTATGGGTTAGTTTAAATGTAAGAGCTAGTCAGTGATAGGCCTGAGCTAACGGCCAAGCAGTTTTAATTAAAATAAGCCTCTGTGTGTTTACTTGGGTCTGAGTGGCAGCTGCAGGACCTCGGGACTGCGAGACCTGAGCAGGACCAGAAAAAAACTTGAGCTTCAACAATCTATTTCCTTCTTTATGACCTGAAAGATAATCTATTTCTGTGAATCTTCCAGACATGAACAAAACTGTATTCTGCTACCGTCAGTAGAACTTAGTATAAGTGCTGATATAATCATGTTGGTGGTTGGTGATGTTTTCTTCCAAATTAATCCAAGCAGCATTTTTAGCTGTACACTTTAAACTAAGAAGATTCAACAGTAGAGGAAAATGGTAATCTGAACTATGACCACAGTCCTATATTTCAGACTAGAACACTATTTTGACAAAATATATCTGTGAAAAGGACTAGGAATGTGCTACTTGGCAATATCCTAATCAAACAGATGCTGCACAGATAACAGACTGAGACCAGAGAAGAGCTCCTACATTATAAATAATTCCTATCCCAGTATAGTTTTACTATAAACAAGCTACAAAAGTAATCTGTTACAATGGCATGCATAACACACCAAGTCAAAAACTGTAAATTCTCACAGTTCTTCCAAATTCATGCCCATAGCTTTGTATTGCAACCCTGAAACTGTACAACACCAATTCTAGACATTCCCTTTAATGCAGTCCACTCTATCCCATTCCTAGTAAGTGTGTCAATGACGAACTGTAACTGCTCATCGGGTAGTGCACCTGAGGCAAATCTGTTTCCCTTCATCTTCCTCTCCCACCTACCAAGTCTCAACTCTAATTGCTTTCAGATAAAATACTTACGGAACACCGACAGTGCTCTCTCGGGGCTTGGAGACGTTCTCTTGCCACCTGGCATTATGTCCCACACGGAGATGGTTCACCTGACTACATAAATTCTGCAGGAAAGGCAGCAGCTCAGAGTTGGGCGCGTTTGAGTTGCCACTCGCCTTCTTCGGTAAGAAAGAAGACATTGCGTTTTTAAGATCACTTTCGAGAAGGGAATGGTTTTGTGGTACAAGGTGACACTCATCGTGGTTTGTGGTATTTCCTTCTCCAGGCGGCTGTGTGCTTTTATCAATAAGAGCCTTTAAATTTTCAGAGATGGCGGAAGGTGTCAATCCAGTTCTAAAAGGAAACGGTGTAGAGGACGCCTTATCTAAGACTCCTGAAGAAGGCGAAGACTGCAGCGCGATCAGATGCTTGTATCCTGTGGTGCCCAACATCGACTGAAGCTCATCTCCAATGGGAAGACATTTCTGAGCAAGGAAAACAAGGGAAGAGTCAAGAGTGAAGGCTGAGCTTTGGAGTGCTGCTAGAGGTCGGGCACTGTGCATTCTTTGGTTGACCCTCAAATGCATCCCTGTATCCCCATGAAGAAAGCTGTTAATGTTCAATGCTAAGGAGAGGAAACCAAAGTGATAGGTTACTGCCCACGGAAACCAGACAGTAAGTGGCAGGGTTGGGACATAAACTTCCTTTAATCATTTCAGTTGCTTCTCCTAAGGAACATATTAAAATATACACTACTATGATAGTAAAATACACTAACAGGCTATAATGTTTTCACTACTAAAGGCTTCCTTATGACAGTAACATATAAGATTAGTCACAAGAGTTGATCATTTTCTTTTAGATTTTTTATTTTTATGTACATATATGTACCAGGTATGTGGAGGTGCCCACAGGGGCAAGAAGAAGGTGTTGGCTTCTGGAACAGGAGTTATAAGCAGTTGTGAGCCACCTGATATTGATGCTGGAAACAGGACTCAGGGCATTTGTAAGAGCAGCAAGTATGCTTGACTGCTGAACAATCTCTATAACCCCCAATCAATTACCTTCTCAAAATTCAACCCAAAATGCCCAATTTTCAATATATTTTTCTTTTTTTTTTTTTTTTTGGTTTTTCGAGACAGGGTTTCTCTGCGTAGTTTTGCGCCTTTCCTGGAGCTCACTTGGTAGCCCAGGCTGGCCTCGAACTCACAGCGATCCGCCTGGCTCTGCCTCCCGAGTGCTGGGATTAAAGGCGTGCGCCACCACCGCCCGGCTTCAATATATTTTTCAATATATGCCCAATTTTCAATATATATAAAACTATTCATTTTACCTGGTCCTATCTCTTACGATGAGTTTTCATGGAAGTACATGGTGGACAGTTGCACTATAGAAGAAGATGTTCTATGGGTATATCTGTGACATTTTTGATGACTGAAATAACCTACTCCGTGGCTGTTTGCTTTAAAAATTTCTAGGATAATGAGAGTTATATTCTGGGGCCACAACTAAACTCATAAGAAGACCCTGGCTTATCTTAAAAGGAAGGCTGACCACTTCCCTATTATGCCTTTCAATTTTTTCTAGTAAAGAAAAGTAAATGACCTCCAGTCTAACAAACACTGTCAAGACAAGTGACTTGATTTCAACTTCAAAACCTAGACGCCAATCATGGACTTTTTTAAAAAAAAACAAACAAGAAAACAGGGATTATCATCTCCCATTATGACTAGACAACAGCTTTTTTTGTTTGTTTGTTTTTTGTTTTTCAAGACAGGGTTTGTCTGTGTAGTTTTGGTACCTGTCCTGGATCTCACTCTGTAGACGGGGCTGGCCTGGAACTCACAGAGATCCGCCTCCCAAGTGCTGGGATTAAAGGACAGCAGCAACATTAAAGGCATGCTCCAACGCTGCCCAGCTAGTCAACAGTTTTGTCCTCCTTCCTCTCCCCATATTTTGCTAGATGTAGCTACTCTCCAAGAGTCTTGCTTTCCAGTTTCAGACTCTTTGTTCACAGGGTTTCTACTGTGGGTACATTTCCCAAGCCTCCTTTGTAGCCAGCCACCTCCTCTCTCCTGATCCTGTCTGCAAATGCCAAAATATCCTTCCAGGCAATCCTTTGTTCCCAACTAAATTTGATATTCCCAAAATTAGACACCTTTTACCAAGTGTCCTCATCCCTTTGGTTCCATTTATATTTCTGGTTAATGCCATCCTCAAAGCCTCAATTTCTCATCTGACTTTATTTTCTCCTTCAATAGTGGTATTAAGTTAACTGTCTAGTCCCAATGACGCCATGCTTCATGGTTTATTAATCTCACAACGCAGTATCATGGTACAACACTTAGCCTGCACCCCATCACCGCTCACCTGGGTGAGGGAAATCACATACAGCTGGCCTCTCTGATGTAGTCTTACTTTCTTTTGATTTACCTTCCACATAAGAGTGGAATAAAATCTCTTTTAAAATAGGCCAAAAACATTTACAAACTTAAGTGATCTCTGTGCTGGATCTCTATGTCCAGCACAAATCTTTAAATCTCTCCTGTCTATTTACTTCCTTTCACTTCTTAGCTAGGTCCTACTCCTTCTAGCACTGAAGATCTTATCCATTACTAACATTTCTCTAAAATAACCAACCTCTAGATGGACCTGATTAGCCCTACCTTCCTCTCTGATTCCAGATGAAATGCCACTTACTTCAGCACATCTTTCTTAATCTCATCATTCCCCAGGTACAGTGTTTAAAACTGGCTACACACTATCTGATCACCTTTATACAGTCAAAAGAGAGCAAGCCAGAGTCGTGTTCACTGCTGAATGAACACATAAAATGAATTCAGGGAAAACTGAAACTATGCAGTCAGAACATTTGTAGAAGGGCAAGTCTACAAAATGTGATTTTTATAAAAATTAAAAATAGATGACAGTTAAAACAACAGTAGAAATTAAGAGGAAAAAAATCAATATACTATATTATCATATTAAAGGTGGCATTAAAAAATAGTTTGGTTGTTTTTTTTTTTGGAGGAGGGGCAGTGTGTGTGTGTGTGTGTGTGTGTGTGTGTGTGTGTGTGTGTGTGTGTGTGTTTGGGAGCAGGGGAGCTCTGAAATCAGGATTACCTCAAGTTCTCACCTTCCATCTCTTTGGGACAAGGTCTAAACCTCTTGGTATACCCCAGACTAAGCGGCCTGTGAACATCAGGGGATTCTCAGGTCTTCACCTCCCATCTTTTGGTGGGAACACAGGAATTACAGGCCTGTTTAATAATGCTTCCTGTTTTTACATGGACTCTGGGAATCCAAACTCGGGTCCTCAGGCCTGCACAGCAAGTCTTTTACCCACTGAGCCAGCTCCCCACACCAGCATTTTAAAATTCAATAAAACATCTCTCTACTTGCCTGCTGCTGAAACCTAATCATGTTCATCAGCTGCTGAGCTCCAGGAGATAACTTTGACCCCATGGACTCCATTATGGTTTGGATACTGTCGAGGTCTATCCGTGATCCTAGAGCAGAAGAACTTGGTGAAGGACTGGCTGACCTTGGTCTCACGTGCACCACAACTTTACTGATGAGCACACACTGCTTTTCACCGAAGGACAGCAGCTATCATGAAACAAAAACATTCCAGGAAACGACAGTGGTATTAAAAGCAATCATCACTTAAGGTGACTTCTTAGTACTACCAAAGCAAGACAGGGCGTTCAAGAGCCTAAAAATTAACTTCAAGTGCATTTCAAGTTTTCTTTATAGTAGTCAAAGTTAGAAAATAAATTCCAACGTATCATGAGGCAAACATAAATACTTAAACAAAGAAATCCTTCCCAAGCCATAGGACACCAATAAAGAATATGAAAGGTTTGTTTACTTGATTTAAGGAATTAAAAATAAGCCACAGCTGGCTGGGGGTATCGCTCAGTGGTAGAGCACTTGACTAGCATGCTCAAGGCCCCAGGTCTGAGTCCTTGGTATCACCGAGGAGAAGAAGAAACCTAAGAGCCCTTGATCCTAGCATTCCCCAGCTGGCTTTAATATTTGATATAAAATAAAAGTCTCCAGATGCCCATACAGCATTTATCTAAATCCGAACCATAATTCAGTCTTGTGTAGTTCAGAAATGAAGGGATGTCATGCGAGAACTACTTTATACATGCTATCTGGTGACTTACATAAAAAGTGGAGTTCGGGGTGACCTTCTAAGCCCCCCCCCCCCCCCCCCCCCCCCCCCGCAGGGATACTCAGCGGTGTAAGTCAAGCTTCGAACCCGGCTCTCCTGGCTTTTATCACTAGACTTTCCATCTTGTTTATGGTGCCTTCCCATTCACTTTGGGGTACTGAGAGAATAGTAACCAGGGTCTCATGTGTGCCAGGTCAGTGCTCGCCACCAGGCCGTCCTCCCATCACTGACAGTTTGGGCTGTGCATGGTTCTGAACCCAAAGACGGTTCATATGTGATGTAAAGGGAAGGGTTAAATCGGACACACCCGAGTTTAGATTCTGAGTTCTGCTACTTTGTCACCCGCGCAGTCCTGGGCACATGCTAAGAGTAAACCAGAGGACCGTGAGATGACTGCAGAGGTTCGTGCGCCAAAAGAGCCACTATGTATCACTGAGTACTGCTCAGAATTCTGAACAGGAACATTTACACAGGCTTTCACATAGGCCAGAGGGATTCCCTAATTGAAAGCTCTCTTCAGACCAACACTCACGTCCATGGAGCAGTAACAAAAATTATTCACTTTGAGAGACACATAGACTCCTGTCACAAAGACACAGATCAGTAAAAACCCAGGCTCTACAAACTCTGAGTGTGGTACCAAATACATGACAGTCCTCAACAGCTAAGGAAATGTTCATTAAATTTATATTCTTCCTCGTTATTACCTCCCTTCTTTCATCTATGTATTTTTATTTTTCAGTTTCTTCAGACAGAATCTCAGGGAAGCACTGGATGGTCTGGAACTCAGTACATAGATCTAGCTGGGCTCAAACTTGGGATGTTGCTGAGTGCTGGGATTATAGGTGTGTGTCACCATACTGGGGTCTACTGTCTTCTTCATGTTGTGTAATCCCAAGAGCCTTTTTCATCATTGACTACAGTATATTTTGTCTATTTGTTCTTTGAGGCATGGTCTCTCTATATAGCCATACCTGTCCTAGAACTTGCTATGTAGATCAGGCTGGCCTTGAACTCATAGAGATCCACCTGCCTCTATCTCTGCCTCCCAAGTGCTGGGAATAAAGGTCTATACCACTGGTGACCAGAGACTACAGTATATACATACAGTAAATCTGATTATAATCTGTCTTGTCCCACTAATATATAAGCAACATGGAGGCTGGCACTTCCATTTTCAATTGATATTCCTAAGTGCCTAGTGCAATGTCTGTTATCAATAGGTACTAAATATTCACTAGATAAATTAAATCACTTAATTCACATGCCTTTACAAGCTGTTAGATATTTCCACTTAAACTGACATTGGAATAACCAGTTCTGGAAACTGGGCTCTTCAATGAAAATCATTTATTTTTTTTTCTTATCTTAAAACTAAGTCTTACTGTCCTCTGTGATAATAAGCACATAATTTCAGAGATAAAAACGACCTAAGAATAAAGCTAGAACCCATTAATTTTCCTTTTAAAGTAGGTCCAGATGGTTAAGAAAACTGACATTACCCAAAGCACTCGTAGGCAACAGAGCTAAATTAGTATTTCTGACTTGCCTTGAGTTTTCCAACTCAGTACCTAGTCCTAAACTCTGACAACATCATTAATGTTTATCTCAAGAATATTTTTCTGGCTAAAGACAGCAGTCTAAATTCCTTAAAATGTCTGGTTCTCGTTTGAACTTTTCTTTCATTCTTTACACACAGGGCCAGGTTTACTTCTGCCTTTTTTGGTACTACAGTTTTAAAGAAAGATTTTTAAGATGTTCTCAGCTGAGCTTCACAATACTTCAAAATACAGTACTACTATATCAACAAAACATTTTCTATAACTAAGAAATTACTCCACTTTAAAGAGAATTTCAATGTCTAAAGGGATTGATAGGTTTGTTGTTGTTGTTTTAGAAAATAATATCCCTTTACAAGCTAACTAAACATTTCTGAACTAAACCTAGGGACCAAGTTAGACTAATTGTACTACCAAACCAAGAGAAAATAAGTATGCATAGAACAAAAACAATTTGATTAACTTTAAATCTTAAAATTTAGTGATGACTTACCTTTATTTTACAAGCCTGTGTGGGAGACTCCAATTTTAGGTATTTTTTGTACAACAGAATCTTTTCATGTTCACTAAAATGAAAAAATTCATTTTAACAGCCAATGATTATAAGCATTAATATATACTTAAGAACAAATGTTTCCTGGGATTCTCTTTTCCTGGTCAGGCCCAGGGAGTAAGAGGTTCCTGGCTGTGCTGCACTGCTTGGAGGAGCTGTATCTCCCACTTACCAGCTAAGTGAGAAAACTAAACTAAGTAGCACAGGGCATATTTAAAAGTTCTGTACATACGACTACTATTTCTAACATGCACACAATATAAAGAGTATGGATTATATTGATAGATTTGGGCAGAATCTTGTAAAGAGACTAGGAAAAAAATCACAAATTGTCCATCTTAAGACTGATGTGGCAGTCTTAGGTTGATATATCATTTATAAGGAGCTTTCTAGAAGGAAGTATATTCAGGGTTTCAGAATGTCTCATTGTTGTAAAATAGACCCCACTGAGTTAAATGAGAGAAAAGAATCCTTTTTAGTTTGTTTGTTTTTGAGACAGGGTTTCCTCTGCATAACAGCCCTGGCTGTCCTGGAACTCACAGAGATTCTCCTTAAAGGTGTGTGCCACCACACCTAGCTGAGAAACAAGAATACTTACCAGGACTTTAGTCTAATAAAACTCTTCCACTAATTACCAGCAACCTACCAGTTCACTTCCACTTAATTAGCCCTAAATTTCTGAATTTATAAGCCCGCTCATCTGCCCTGTCTTTTGAATTTTGAAGGCTTAGTGGTCTAACCTATACTTACTGGTACGTTTTTAACTTCTCTCCCCTAACCTCTGGTGTCAATGTTAGACTATCCACAAATGTTGAAAGAGCTAAGAATAAAGACACTGACTCAGACTAATGCTTTCACCTGGACAAGTCACAAACCTGTCATCCAGGACAGTGCAGACATTCTTGCCCCGACTGGTTCCACAATACTCCTCTCCTAAGTATACTTCCATGTTTCTTGCTGAACTCAGAATGCCAACAGAAAGGATTTCTTCACCCCCATTAGGTCCACACTTCAGGTAAAGGAAGCAGGGATTTTCATCTCGGGGGCTCAAGCTGCTCTTCAGACTCACCAAATCAGGAGGGCTGAGAAGGAAATTGATAAAACATCACACAGAGAACTTTTCTGAGTAGAACCATAACCCATCTCTTCAAACTCACTTCTACTTGCCCTGAGAGCCAAGAACCTTTCCCAACACCAACAGATGCTCAACAATGAATTCATAAAGAAGGGAGGTTTGAGGCGTCGAGCATCCTCTTCCACCTTTCCTAGACCGTGGTCATTCTACTCAAATCTCTAATTAATCGCAGTCAATTAAAAACGTTCTCAGTGTGTAAAGAAAAAACAACGATATGTTTTTTTTTTTCTAAGTTGCCGTGGTTCTTTATGGTTGGACTTGTCCCGCTCCAGTTCCCCTGAAAAGAAAGTTGGCTGGTTTCGGGGTGGTGGCGAGGAGGGTTCTAAACAGGAGCCTGGGGAGGTGTTCCCGCTGACTCTAGGATCCTGAACCCGAGTTTCCAGCCCTCTCCGGCCCAGCGCGCAGCCCTTGCCCGCAGCCTCGCCCACCTCCCGGCACCGCTCCCTCAGCCCACCCCAGCCGGCCCCGCGGCCTCGCTCGGCTCCCGTCCTCCTCCCCGCTCCTCAGCAGCGTGGCTGTCACCCGGCCCCGGCCCGGCGCACCCCGGAGCTGGCGGGGCCAGCAGTGGCTCGAAGTTCAAGTCTTGGGCACCTGGCCCAATCCGGGTAAGGAGGAGGCTTTGGGTCAGCGCCCCGCACGCCGCATCCCAGGACGAGGTCAGCGTCGGGCCGCGGTCCAGCCCCGGATCTTCGATCGCGGTCTCCATTCTGTCTCCTCCAAGCCCAAGCAGCGCCGGAACCTCTCTCGCGGAGCTTGCGTTTCCTTCAGTGCCGAGCGGAGGTGAAGGTTCAGTACAACTTCCGGTTCTTTTCTTTTTTTTTTTTCCTCCTTCAAATCCCGGGAAACCAACTACCGTAAATGCGCATGCGCATATCTTCTGCCTTCTAGACGTTCAAAATCTTAGCGGGATGCGATTGAGGCTGTCGCTTGTGACTTTCTCGCTCCTGTTGCAGGTGCCGTACGCATGCGCGACACTCTGCATGCGTAAACGAAGAGGTTTTTTTCGACGTTGGCTGTAGTGACCCAGTCAGCTCGGTATTTAGCGCTGCAGAATACTGTTAGGTGACAAAAGGCATTAAACAAACAGCTGAACCAATGGTGGGACTGAGATCAGGCTCCTGGGCCTCAGGTGTACCCCTGTCCAAAAATGTGTTTGTCTTCTGGCAAGAAAAAGATAGTCGAATGTAATTTTCTATAAGCAGTCACCAGAGTGTATGTGAAGTGTGTTCATCAAGTTTGAAGGAGAAATCAAAGACTCAACATAAACAAAATCCAGAAATAGTAACCTTTAATTTTAAAAGGCCCACTGTGTGAGTATTTCATTCCTTTTCTGTATGTTACAGGGTTGAAAGTCTTTATTCCAGCCAGCTGGGACCTAGGCGTGGCCCCGAGTGTCCAGAACACGGATTTTTAAAGACAGATCTTAAAAGTTGAGGAACCTCCCTCAGCAGCTGCAGGACTTCAAAGAGTAAGCAGTTTTAACAGAAGCTGAGATAACCTTTAGCTGGCTGAGGAGGTTCCGCACAAACAGGCAGCTAAGGTGAATGGTTAGCTGGAGGAGGGTCCGGACAAACAAGCACTTTTAACAAAGGCTAAGATAAGTTAGCTAGGACACTCTGACCCTTGGTCCCTAGAATAGAGCTGGGTAGTTTTCCATGGGATTCCCCATCAAGATCCGATTCAAATTATACCTGGAAGCGGCTTCAGCAGGAATACAAGATGGAGCAACCTCTGCATTGTCTTGCCCTGTCACACTGTATTTCCCGCTTCCTCTGGTCATGAATTAGGTTAGTATCTGTAGACATTCCAAAGGGAAGTACACTCTAGAAATGCTAACTTGCAGTTTTGTGCACAAGATTAATAATACCGTGTGGAGTTTTACTTCCTTAAATAAGGCTAATGAATCAGAAAACGAAAGACACCTGTCATAAAGACTCCTGCCAATGAATCACCATTTCTTCATTTCCTCAAAAGCTCTTACCTTTCTTCATCTCTGCTTGTCAATCTGACCCATTGTGGGAGTTTCTTTACCTAGGTCATTAGCCTAGTCTCATCGTTGCCTTATCAATCACTGCTCTGCCCTCTGCTCTAGGTCCCTTCTAATGATTGATGTTGCTGACTGAACCAGCATCGCCTTTATTCCTTAGCATTGCAAAGCCTGGTGAACTCTGATCCTACCTTCCCCCCAGTCTCCTCTCCCCAGAATACTGTGTTTTCCCAACCGTTTTAAAAAATAAAATAAAACATAACCAAGCTTGAATCTCAGTTACAGAATGGAATTGATCCCTCTGCTACACTACACCCTTTGAAGTATTCTATCATTCCCTTTCAGTGCCAGTTAACCAGTTCCCATAGTTACTTCTCCTCCCAGCTGCATGCTTGCTGGTATAAGGAACTGTTTTGTGCTTGTAAAGTTAAGAACAGTTCTACGGTGTGGAACTCATAAGTTGGTGAGAAGTAGCAACTTTATCACAGAAGCACAAAGCAGCCAAAAATGGTGAACTTTTGGGATTCTTCTCAAAGCCAGTGTGGTTATGGTTCAGAGCTGACCTTAATATGTAAGGAATTGCAAAGGATTTTCTTTTTGTTTTCTCTCTTGAAATAATTAAGAATGTTTGTTAGTTGCTGGAGGTAGTGGCACATGCCCTTAGTCCCGGGACTCAAGAGGCAGAGGCAGGTGGATCTCTGAGTTCAAGGCCAGCCTGGTCTACAAAGTGAGTTCCAGTATAGCCAGTAAGTTCCAGTCTACACAGTAAGACTCTGTCTCAAAAAAAAAAAAAATGTTAGAAACTTCCCACCAACAACCAATATTAAGTTAAACAGATCAGGGTTTTGATTGCCTACTTTATAGTTATAATTTATTGATTTAAGAGCTTATTATGCCTTCTAGGAGAATATTTCAAGTCTGTGTTCAGTGGGGCATGGTGGTACATGCCTGTTGCCCCTAGCTGCTTGGGACACAGGTGGAAGAATCCCTTAAGCCCACAAGTTAGAGACTAAACTTGGCAACAGCAAGACTTTGTCTTAAAAAAAAAAAATCTGCCTTCCCCATATGAATCAACACACATTTGAAAGGTACATTTTAGAAGAGGAATTATTAATTTTCTTTATACCCTTAATTTGGTAATGCAACCATTTAGACCATCTTAATTTTTATGTAGTGAGACCTGAGTGAGTAAATAAACCTGCCTTTTACCCAGGGGTATACATCCCAGCAAGGTGGTTATAGGAAACTAATTTCCCTCTTGGCTGGAACCACATAGCTATAACTTCCCTCACTGGTCACAAATTCACTTGGTTACCTACACGAATTGTGTATGATGGGATGTAAATGGAGTGGAAAGGACGAGAAATCAAGATGATGTTTTGTTGATAGCCCTATTTAAAAAAAAAAAAAAAAAAAAAAAACAGCAAAGATGGGAAGCAGCTCAAATTTCTAAATTCAGTGTTACACCACACACACTAACATTTTCCTTGTTTGGTAGTTCTTCCCGGTTTGTTTGTTTGTTGTGTTTTTTAGGAGGGGTAAGGAGTTTGAGACAGGGTCTCATGTAGCACAGGCTAGCCTTAAACTCTTGCTCCTCCTGCATCTGCCTTTCAAGTGCTAGGATTATAAATTTGTGTCCCAAATCCCAGCTCGCTACCACTTTATTTTTTAATCTATCGATAATCCCTGTTTTCTGCCTGCATGTGTTGGAGATAAGGTCTAAGGAGGTACGTTTCCTATCCTTATTTCTTCTCACTTGCTGCCGCCTGGCGGCACCAGGACTCAATAACGAATACTCAACCCTCGAACCCATCAAGTCCAGGAACAGCTGAAAATAGGCTGTCCTCGCGTCGCCTCCTGCTGTTTGATTTCCCGCTCTTTACCTTCAAAGCCTTCCTTAAGAAGTTTCAAGCCTTCAGAGATTTTCCTGGACAGAGAAACCTCACCGTAAACAAACCAAAATGCAAAGCCCTAATGGTTTGAAGGTGGGACAGGGAGGATGATTCTATCGGGAGTAAACCTAACTCAGGGGCCCTTTAAGAATGTTCAGAGGATGAAAGAAGAGCCGATGCCTCCCCGGGCTAGGGCACTGGCGTCAGGGACAGCTGACACCAATCGATCACAAGTTCCAGAAGGGGCCCTGAGTAGCAGCCTGGACCAAGTCATCTTCTCTAGACCTGCATCCTCGCTAGTTCCCACCCAGTGTAGCTCCGGGGGCGGGGCGCGGCATGGCACTGGTGCAGTGCGCATGCGCAGCGGGCGCCAAGGTTTCTGCAGGCCTCAGTGGAGGCATGAAGAGTTCTGCGGGGTCTGGGGAGGTCCAAGTCGATGGACGGCCCAAGCTGGGACTGTGTGTCCTCTGCGGCTTGCCGGCGGCCGGAAAGTCAACCTTCGCGCGTGCTCTGGCCCTCAGACTGCGGCAGGAGCGGGGCTGGGCCGTGGGCGTCCTCTCCTACGACGATCTGCTGCCCCCCGCGCTCCCGGACCGCGCTGGCACACAGCTTCGGGTCAGCTCCGAGTGGGTGGGGCGGGCAGGTGCGCAGACTCGGCACAGGCGGTGGGGCTGTGGGTTGTTGACCCAGAGCCGCCCTGGATCCTGATTCAGCAGTGCTAGTGTAGGAGGGGAAGCCTGACCGGAGCTGGAGACGAGGGGAGCTGGTTAGCTCCGCTCTAGGAGACGTACACCTGTGTCTCAAGTGTTACGTTACAGGGCTAAGGGCCATGCTCTGTAGAGGTTTTTATGCAAGTTTGGTACGTTCACATATTGCATATTCTATGCAGTGGAGCTTTAAGATAAGGCCTAGCTGTGTTGCTGGGGTTGGTCCCAAACTCCAGGGCTCAAGGATCATCCTGACACCGCCTCTCACGTATCTGGGACTACAGGTGCCCCCTCCAAGTCCTATCTATGTCAGAGTGAAGTTTTGCGTTTAGTTTACAAGGTGAATGTCCTAGTCAGATAAATCCTGATGACAATCCTTTGGGTAGTTTATCCCAAGACAAAAGAAAGGATCTCTTAAAAAAAAAATAAAATAAAAAGATTCTGCTTATAGCTGGTTAAAACCAGATTTTGTGGGACTTCTGCTTGGTACCATTTTGGAATTCCCCATGAGCATACAGAATAAAAATGATAACAAAATTGCTAGGTCCCTCCAGGGAAAATTTACCAGATGAAGGGTCTGGTCTGCCACTAGTATTGGAAAAGGTGGTGCTTTCTTGGTTGACAGCCAGATGGAGTAATAAGCTTGACTTGTATGTGCCAAGTATATACTTCTTAATTCCTGCACTTACATCCCAGTGAGGTGAACCCGATAGAAGCACATGGAAGCAGACCACATGGCGGAGTCGAGTCCAGTCTCCAGTTGTATACTTACTCTAAAGCAGTATCTTTTGAGATCTTCTGAAATCTTAAATTGTAACATTTGATGGGTAGTGCTTGAGTGTGGACAAGTCACATGAATTAAAGGCAAATAGAATGACTCTATTCTGTAAGTATATACAAAGAAAAAATATACAAAATGCATGTATTTGGTATGTGAAAAAATTCTGTATTTCTCCATCAGAATTTGTCTGCTGCTTCAGTTCTGGTTGTGGGGGGAGGGAAGCAGTATTGTAATTGGGAGTTACTTGTATGATAGTAGTCTCACCACTTTGTATAAAGATAAAAGTTATTGATATGGATTGTTTTTCCTTCACCTTATTACTGTGAATCATACTCTCCCCCTCCAGATCTCACTTGGTCACTGTGATTAGAAAATCTCCCCCCTTGAGGACGTGGCACAAATTTCCTTCTCAGTGGGTTTATCTGGTATACTTTTATGTGGACAAGGCAGGAGAAGAATTCATCTCCTCTCCTTTTGTATTTCCTCCAGGCTTGACTTCAGAACTACAGTGCTCTCCACCCCCTCCCAAAACAAGATGACTTGTATTCTCAAGCTCCTTATTTCCTCCTATCTGTTTCTGCCATCTCTCCCAATCTCACAGTCCAGTTGTTCTTAGCCTGAGGTCTTTGCATCTTGACCAAAGTCCCTTCCAACTGACTTATCTTGCTGTCGGTGTCCCTTTTCATTTCAAGGACAAACCAACATTGTTATATCTTAGGTTGTTTTAGCTCAGCAGGATATTGATTTTGGCTCCTTTATTCTCCTATATGGTAGAGGGTATTCATGTTCATGTATTCACTCATTCATTCATTCACTTAAAATACATTTCTGGAACGCCTGTCAGCCTGTCTGCTGGAGGCTGAGTGATCTAGCAGGGAGAGATATGAAGGTGTGCATAGATATCTGATGTAAGCCCTGTTAGAGTAAGGACAATGTACAGAGTGGGGCTGGACTGCCTTCTACATGATTGAATCTGAGAAGGCTTCACACAGCCCCGGAGGCATTGGGGATATTCCAGGCAGAGGGTGTAGGACCCATGAAGACAGAAAGGTATGAGAAACAAGGTGTCTGTTGAGAACTTCAAATGTTTCAGTATTGTGAGCTGAAATTTTACATGAGGACAGGATAGCAATAAAACAAGATGACCAGCCTGCTGTCTAAAGCCTAAACTAAATTTCAATTCTTTGTTGTTTTTTGTAGCCGTCCCAATGGAAAATGTTTCGACAAGAACTGTTAAAGCACCTGGAATGCTTTCTCGTGGCGGTCATTAGTGGGGGTCAGATGTCTGCCCCACCCAACAGGAGTGAAGCTGTGTGGGAAGCTTTTATAACTTGCTTAAAGAACCAGTGTTTGATCTTTTCTGCAGCTCATGAGGCCCAGCCTTGCCACCTCTTGGCAAAATCTGCTGTTTCTAGAACTTTGATTTTGGTATTAGATGACAACTTTTATTACCAAAGTATGAGATATGAAGTCTACCAACTGGCTCGGAAATGTAATTAAAACATTATTTTCTTATACATGAAAACATCCATTCGCATATGTCAAATCACAGCTGCCTTTAGTGAGCATTTAATTGGATTAGGTTTATATGGATTTAATTTTTAAAGTGAGTGTTCAGTATTGCAAATGGAGTTTATCCTGCTTCATCTGGGTCTAGTATATATTTATTTCACATTTCTGGAGAGACAGACTGGTAACTTGGTAATTTTAAACCTGTTTTCAGATTCACTAGGCTTTTGCCAGCTCTTTTTAGATTGTCCCCTGGAAACGTGTTTGCTGAGGAATGGCCAGAGACCCCAGCCACTGCCTAATGAGACCATCCACCTCATGGAGAAAAAGATAGAAAAGCCTGACCCTGAGAAAAACACCTGGGAACACAACA